ATTGCTAGTATTTCTGAGCGGATTATGCATTCAGGGTATCCTCAGAGACCTAGTTCTGCAAATGACGGCCCCTCTTACCTATGGGCCGATGTACCTATGTTGTTCATATTTGGTTGGGCCCTGCCCCAACGAGGGTCAACAACCCCCTCTCCCACCCAATAAAGCTTTTGGTTTGGGGTTTAAGGGGGGCGAGGGCGTGAAACATCCCTAAAGGGGTACCCTAAACCCCAAACCCTAAACCCTAAACCCTAATCGCCAAACCCTAAACCCTAAACCCTAAGCCATTGCTTCGTCTCGCCGCTCTTTTGCGCGCCGAGACTCCCAGGAAGTTTATCCGGTGCACTGCGGGGCTTTCCCACCAGTCGTACAGGGCTTTGTCCTGCGGGTTTAGGGTTTAGGGTTTAGGGTTTAGGGTTTAGGGTTTAGGTTTAGGGCTAACCCCCACCCCCCTCCCCCTCCGCTAAAGGATGCTAACTTGTTGGCCGATGAAACTAGAATGGGGAATCTTTTGCCTTTACAAAAGACTTCTTGGACATTTTTTTTCCGATAGCAGACTGTCTTCTATGGGCTTCAAGTGCTGTATAAGACTCAAAGGGCATTCTCGGACGACCATCTTTGTGACTAGGCTCCTGCCCCTAAACCCTAAACCCTAAACCCTAAACCCTAAACCCTAAACCCTAAACCCTAAACCCTAAACCCTAAACCCTAAACCCTAAACCCTAAACCCTAAACCCTAAACCCTAAACCCTAAACCCTAAACTGAAGTTCACTGAAGCTGCTTCCGGAGTCCTCGTCAATGGCCTTGAACATGCAGGCATCTGTGAGGAGGTAGTTCCAGATTCCTGCAAATTAGGGTTTAGGGTTTATAGGGTTTAGGGTTTAGGGTTTAGGGCCAAGGGTTTAGGGTGAGGAGCTTAGGCCGTTAGACTATGGACATGAGACGCCCTCAAGCTCCGGTGACAAGCTTTGCGGTTGTATCCGGAATGGGGTTTGGGGTTTGGGGTTTAGAGAGCGTTTGGATATCTTGGCAGGTGCTAGTGCCACGCAAGTCGATACCACACATACTGGGCACAGTGATCAGTGCGACCAGGGATGCCATTGTCAAAAGACACTGAAGGCACACAGCTTTAATCCTGAACCTTAAACCCAACGGGCCAACATGTTGACCCTGCTTTGCTTGGTCCAGCCCTCAACCTCGCGCAGAAAAAAGACCAGAAAGCAGGCATGCAGCTCAGCTCCACTGCGAAATCGCTCAGACACTCGCAGCTCTACGCAGCCCTGCACCGCTTTTGCCAAAGCTCAATTCAACCACTCAAAGTGCCAAATCCAACCATCGAGGAGTGGTCCCACAAGCCCCGAAAGCCCCAAAAGCACATCGACTGGCCTAGGGCGTGGAGATCCTCCACCTGCCTGGCAGCGCGCTTCTCACTCCGCGGCTCACCACGACTACACTGTCAGAAGCACTTAGATGCACACGCACACACACACACAAATTCACACAGACATGTATACCTGTACAAAGACGTACATGCCTACACAAACGTCTGCATGTATGCTTCTAAGCATACTCATGAGTTTTAGTCATCACTACCATGTTACTTCATCATCATGATGATATTCTTGGCCTTACTTGTACCGTGTTCTTGTCATTCTGATTCTGATTATGATACAGGTAGATCTTTCTAAGGGTCATTCTGCAACCACCCCATCCCCCTGGGCCAAAGTAAGGTTGAAGCTTCAAGAGCACTCGGGCACGGTGAAGTCCGAAACAATCACCTTTCCTAATCTGACTTCAGAGAAGCTGAGTTTAGGGGGGTTAGGTTAGGGGTCTGGGCATTTTGGGTGGGTTTCGTTAGGGGCTCTTAGGGTTCACAGGGATTTTTGCTTAATAAGGGTCATCTGCGGTTTATGTCGGGTTTATATAGGTCTGGATAGGATTCGGATAGGGTCTGTGGGGTTTAGGGAGTTGGGAACTGAGGCCCCGGCCTGGGAGTGAACATGTCCATGCGGTCCATGAGCTTAAAACGGTCGGTGGCCGAATGAGCTCGCCTTTCGGAGGCCGAAACCCCTAAACCCCGAAACCCCTAAACCCCGAAACCCCTAAACCCCTAAACCCCCTAAACCCCTAAACCCTCAACCCCGAAACCCCTCAACCCCCAACCCCTAAACCCAAAGGAGGAAGGGGCCCTCCCAGGAGCGGTTTACTGGGGCTTCTTGCTTATTCGGGGTGTAGGGTTTGGGTTTAGGGTTTGGGGTTTGGGGTTTGGGGTTTAGGGTTTGGGGTTTAGGGTTTAGGGTTTAGGGTTTGGGGTTTGGGGTTTAGGGTTTAGGGGAAGGGATATGGAGGTTTACGACAATGGGGGGGGGGTCCCAAATGTACCCCCCCCCCCCCCCCCCCCCGATAGTAGGATTCACTTATGATAAGGACATGAATTCCGGGAACCCCCAAACAGGGATTGAGAGCCCCTAAGAAGGGGCGCTCGGGGCGTTTAGGGGTTTGTGTTTTTTCGTGTTTGTTGTTTGTTGCTTTACTTTTTCGTGTTTACTATTATAATCTCCCTGCTTTTTTTTGTGGGGGGGTGGCTTTGGGGTTCAAGGGATTTTTGCTTTGCTTTGGGCGCTTCGGGTCTAGGTGTCTAGGGTGGAATTCCTAAAGCCCCCAAACCATCCCTTACATGTGCCCTGCTTCCAGCAGCCCCGAGCGTCAAGAGCCAAGAGTTAACACCCAGCTTGAAAGACTCTGGCAAACCCCTAAACCCTAAATCCTAAACCCTAAACCCTAAACCCTAACCCCCCCCCCCCCCCCACCACCAAAATCAAACCCTTGCAAAACCCCAAAAACTAAAACCGAACCCTCAAACTTACTATATATACCCCAAACCCTAAAAAACCTGAAGCCGAAACCTAAAAGCACCCTAAACCTGCGCACTCCAAACCCTAACCCTAAACCCTAAACCCTAAACCCTAAACCCTAAACCCTAAACCCTAAACCCTAAACCCTAAACCCTAAACCCTAAACCCTAAACCCTAAACCCTAAACCCTAAACCCTAACCCTAAACCCTAAACCCCATAGTCACCCTTGATGGCCAAAACCGGCCAGGCTGCTTGACGCAGCTCAGCGTGCGAGAGATCAGTGGGTCCTGGGCCGGGACCCCATGGATTTGGGGGGGGGGGGTTTAGGGTTTAGGGTTTAGGGTTTAGGGTTTAGGGTTTAGGGTTTAGGGTTTAGGGTTCAGCATCTCTGGTCCAAGCATTCACTAGTTGAGCAGCTTTCAAGGCCACAGGTGAACACCCACCCGCCCATTGGGTCCCACACCATGAGGAAAAATATCCAACCTCCTTCTTCTCTAGGCACGTGGTCAACAGAATGGATTTGTTAACCGCATGTTTCTGTTTCAAGCGGACAAGAAAACCAAACGTGGTCAACGGAATGGATTTGTCAACCACATGTTTCTGTTTCAAGCGGACAAGAAAACCAACGTGGTCAACAGAATGGATTGGTTAACCACATGTTTCCATTCGGGAACTTATTCTTTGGAAGCCATCTTGAGTTCTTGAGTCGTTTGAGGGGCTTCAGGGGCCTCAAAAACAGGCGCGGTCATTCGGAAACTTATTCTTTGGAAGCCATCTTGAATCGCTTGACTCTTTTGAGAGACTCAAAGGGGGCAAGGTCATATATTTAGCGGGCAAGGTCATATATTTAGTGGGCAAGGTCGCCCTTTAGCGGGCAAGGTCATATATTTAGTGGGCAAGGTCATTTTTAGCCAATGGACCTTGCCCACTAAATATATGACCTTGCCCGCTAAATATATGACCTTGCCCGCTAAATATATGACCTTGCCCGCTAAATATAGGACCTTGCCCGCTAAATATAGGACCTTGCCCGCTAAATATAGGACCTTGCCCGCTAAATATGACCTTGCCCGCTAAATATATGACCTGGCCCGGGCCATATATTTAGCGGGCAAGGTCATATATTTAGCGGGCAAGGTCCTATATTTAGCGGGCAAGGTCCTATATTTAGCGGGCAAGGTCCTATATTTAGTGGGCAAGGTCGCCCTTTAGCGGGCAAGGTCATATATTTAGTGGGCAAGGTCTTTTTTTAGCCAATGGACCTTGCCCACTAAATATACCTTGCCCGCTAAATATATGACCTTGCCCGCTAAATATATGACCTTGCCCGCTAAATATATGACCTTGCCCGCAAAGTCATTAACATTTATATTATATGGCAGTGGGTTAAAATTCGGGTTGTCGCGGGGGGTCCGCCCCGCCCTCTGCTACAAGCCTTGTCGCGGGCAGGTTGTTTCATACCTTTGTCGCGCCGCTACTTTGAACCCAATTTTCTTAGTTGGGTTTTGTAAGGGTTTAGGGTAAAGGGTTTAGGTTTAGGGTTGGGGTTTCGGATGAAGGGTTTAGGGATTTTACTGGAGAGCCTTAAACCCTGAACCCTGTAAATATAAACCCTGGGCTTCTCGTTCAAGGTTGTCCTACGGATGGGCACCTGCTGGCTCGAGCAGTCGCGCGGGTTGTCGCGGGTATGTCGCGCCCTGTCGCAGGCCTTGTCGCGGACTGAGAGTGAAAGTTGCTGCAGACACGCATCAAGGTCGCATCGAGATTGGCAATGAGAAAATTCAATGGTATTGCTGTCTTGTCGGGGGGGGGGGGGTTGTAGCCTTGTCGCGGGGGGGGTTGTCGCGGACACGGCACGTCTGTTACAAACCTTTGTCGCGGAGGGACCCCCCGGTGCCTGTTACAAGCCCGGAAAAAAAACTCACTGCCATATACGAAAGAGTGGTTTAGGGTTTAGGGTTTAGGGTTTAGGGTTTTAGGGTTTAGGGTTTAGGGTTTAGGGTTTAGGGTTTAGGGTTTAGGGTTTAGGGTCCCCAACACCCTAATCTAGGCGCCTTAATAATTAGAATAGGGTTTTGGGGGTTACCCTAGTATAAATACAAAGGGACCATAAGAAAATACTATTCGTAATTATTCCGAATTTATATTAGAACCTCAACACCCCTTGAACCCCTCCGCTCACCTCAAAGATGAGCTCAACAAGAATCTCCCACGGACTCTCGGACGAAAAGCCCACGACAAAAGAATACAATGGACCCGTGAAAATCCTAAAGCCTAGGCCCGATAACGCCCCAAAAGCCTAAAGCCCTCCTTATTGGAGGCCAAGTACTCCCTACTAGGATCCCTGTTATGACGGGCTGCTGGTATAAGGGATAAGCATCCCAACCTACAAACACCAGAACCCAAAAGCCCCCCCTTGTCCCCCTACTCTGGAGTAGACCCTGGGAAACATATATACTTTTTAGGTATAAGCAGCTCTAATAGGAACCCAGAGCCAAAAAAATGTATTCAAGTGTGGTAACCCTAAACCCTAAACCCTAAACTCTAAACTCTAAACCCTAAACCCTTAAAGTTGGAGGCCGCCTGGGGAGGCGCTGCGAAGAACCAGTTCTCGATGTGGAACTCGGCGCTGTAGCGATCCTCGGCCCACCTCCTGGGGGGGGGGGGGGAAACTTTAGGGCTGGGTTTAGGGTTTGGGTTTAGGGTTTAGGGTTTAGGGTTTAGGGTTTAGGGTTTAGGGTTTAGGGTTTAGGGTTTAGGGTTTAGGGTTTAGGGTTTAGGGTTTAGGGTTTAGAGTTTAGAGTTTAGAGTTTAGGTTTTAGGGTTTAGGGTTTAGGGTTTAGGGACTGAGGTTTAAGTAACGACTTTAAAACTTAGGCTATGGGGCTTGTTTTTACAGGGCCTGTAGGGCTTAGAGGGCTTATAGTATAAGGGCTGAAAGCTCCGCAGCGAGGATGTTGGGGGGGAGTTTTTCGGGATAGGTTTAGGGACTCAGCATGGAGTGTTCGAAGAATTTGTTGCAAGGACACTGGGCTTTGCTTGCACTATCCTGTGACCTCGAGTCCCTACTTGCAGCCCCCAAACTGCCCTGTAATAAAGGGGGCTCCCTCACCCTTCTATTATGGTTACAGGGCAGTTGGCGGCTGCTAGTCACCAGAGGGCTTGAGGTTCATGGTATAACCACAATGCTTCCTCATAAAGGCATGCCTAAGTTCTCTAGTCACCTAACCAACCCTTAACCCTCAACCCTAAACCCGGGCACTCTTCTTCTAAGCCTACAGAAAAACGCAGGTTGTCCTTCCCGAAAGAGTGGTGGGCTCCAACTATGACAGATGGGATGCAACATGGGATTTAGGGTTTAGGGTTCAGGGTTTACGAAAGCGTGCGCCCTTCAGTGAATCGTCGTCCTACAAACCCCTACAGACTTGAACTAAGAGGTTGCAACCGGTGCTTGCTTCGCTGCTGGTAGCTTCACTCCTCGTGGTTGCTAAGCCCTGAACCTAACAAGTCCTGAGTTCCATGTCAAGTACGTCGACCACTTAGCCCTACAATGCGTCTGAATCACTCAAAACCCAACAAAAGAACGTTCAGGTCTGGGAGCGTTTTGTCAATAATGCCCTCGTTGTCGAAGCCGCGGTTCACCTCCGTCGTGTATATGTACACGTACATATGTATACATATATACATATGTATATATATATACACATATATATATATATGTATGTATATGTGTGTGTGTGTGTGTGAATCTGTGTGTGTGTGTGTGTGTGTGTGTTTTTATGTGCACATATACAAAAATGCTGCTCCGGATGTGTGTCTGTGTGCATGTGCACGTGGGAGTGTGAGTGAGTGAGTGGGTGAGTGAGTGAGTGTGTGAGTGAGTGAGAGTGAGTGAGTGTGTGAGTGTGTGAGTGAGTGAGAGTGAGTGAAGGAGTGAGTGACAGTGAGTGAAGGTGAGTGGGTGACGCCTGGGAGGCAGCATGGATCTGGCCCATCGGAGGGGCCATGGTGGCTGTAAGGCCTCGGGCGTGGCGGTTGATAACCTCGGCGGCTCGGGCTTGGATCTCCCGGGACTGCCGTTGCTCGGCCAGCACTTCCCCTTCCTTCTTCCAATACTCGAGCTCCAGTTTATCGGCTCGGTCTTGGAGTCTTCCAGCCAGCTCGGCCGTTTTGCGCTTCTCGGCCTCGATCATCCGCTTGTCCCCCTCGGCCCCTCGAGCATCAAGAAGTCGCGCCGCTGCTGGTCGTGCAGACTTTGCCTCGGCCGCTGCGGCAACATACCGTTGCATGTACTCGGACTTCTCGGTCATCAGCGCCATGTTCGTGGTTGACAGCAGCGAGACCTGGCTCTCGAGCATTGCCTTCTCGGACGTGTGTCTGCTGGCGTATACCTTCAGGATGCTGTCCTGCGCTTCGGTCACCTGGCCGGCCGACTCAAGCCTGTCTTCGGTCTGTTGCTGCTTCTTCTCGGCCTCGTGACGCTTCTCTCTCTCTCCTCCTGGCACTGGACTTCGGCCTCGCTCAGCTTCGCCTCGGCCTCTTCACACCTCATCTCGGCCTGGGCCTGACCCTTCACAGCCTCATCCTTGAAGTGCGTGGCGCGGTCGGCCTTTCGGGTCAAAGCAGACGGAGTGTGTCCTTAGACGCGCTTTGGATTTAGGGACGGCTTGCTTTGAAAATAAGCCACACTGTATCCAAAAAAACAGTTTATCAGAAGCAGCTTAGGTTCTTTTGCCGCGATACTTTCGGGCACTGGGATCATCCGGTCCAGTTCCAGCCAAAGACCCAAAATTGTCTCCTTGGCTGCAGCTGGGGTGACACTGGCAAAATGCTGAATGAATGCTGTCTTGTTGACCCTGACATTGCTGGCTGCAGACAGGCTGCCAAGCGGTCCGAGATTCGCTGGTGCTCCTGCAGGTGTTGTGTTGCTGCAGCTGCATTAGCCGGGATCCTGAACCCTGACAGTGTACTTAGACTCGACTATAAGCCCTGGGCTCGGCCCTTGCCCTGCCTCGGCCTTTACCTTTGCCCTGGCCGCGGCCCTTGCCTTTGCCCTGGGCGTGGCCCTTCTTGCCCTTGCCGGGACCACCATGACCCATGGCTGCTGGCAATGTTCAGTATTATTTCTGTGTGTGTGTGTGTGCGTTTGATTGTGTGTGTGTGTGTGTCCAGGTGTGTGTCCCACTCTCTATCTCTCTCGTTTAAGTTACACTTTCTGCGGTCAAAGACCGCGAAGACTTGGCCATGTTGCTGCGGTCATTCGGTCATGGTCGCACAAGTCAAGCTGCATCGGACACAAGAAGGCTGAATGCAATCGCAAGAAGCTGGGCGTCCGGCGACACTCGAGCGTCTTCACGGAATCGGACCATGGCCAGGCCTGGGCAGGAACGTGTAGTGCAGGAGCCCGCCCATGTTTCGATGCAGGAAAATGACAACACCCGGCACAGCCCAAGAGCTGGGCACCGCGCGTTGCCAGACAGAGCTCCTGAAGGAGGAGGAAACGAAGGAACTGCTCTTACTTAAACTTAACTATAATGCCCACATAACACAGCCGCCCCAAACAAAAGTGCGAAAACCACATATCGGGCGGGAGTATGTCGCCACGTTTTCAGCATGAGCCGCGTCTTCGAGTAAAATGGCCAAAGCTTCGATTCGGGGGAAGTGTCCTTCAAGAAGCGTGACTGCCTAGCGGGTCTTTAACATAGGGTTTAGGGTTTAGGGTTGCTCCTCTCAGAAAGCTTTCGGGCTTTCCATTAAACTTAAGAAGCTTTGGCATCGACTCCTGAATTCAATTTGGCTACATGGCGCATCACTCGCCAGGAACACGTATGGCTCGGGCAGGTCGGGCAGCACCTCCAGGGAACCCGAATCGTCAATCCAGCTCGGCCGCATCAAAATCCAAGCTGGCAACGACTTCCCACTGTGTCTCGCCTGCAGCAGCAGCCTCCTCCTGCAAGGGATAATAGAAGAATCAAAATAAGGTCAGAGTCAAATACTGAACCTATTAATTATCAACAAACATGTACTGCCCCCCTTGAATACAAAATATGCCTTGGTTATCTGCTGAGGCAATCTGTAAAAATGTCTGCCAACCTTAATCCCTGTCAGTTCTGTGAACCCCACAGATCGGGCTTTAGTTACTTACTAGTCCTCGGGCGCGGAGGCCCCGTGATGGCCCGGATCGGCCGCCGCCGACATCTCCTGTCGGATTGCAGCTGCAGTAGCAAAATGCATTGCTCGCACAGACCCGGCTCCTCGGACATTCTTTGCCACTGTGGCACCGTTTCTGCTTCAACATGGTTGCGGCTCCACCGCCACTGCCAGACTTCCTCGGCCTCGGGCACCATCATCTCCTGACCGCAAAGAAAGGGACTAGCTGCTGTTCCGCCGTCTCCTAATTACGCCAACATGTACAGACTGTCAGAACAAGAGAGACGCAGGGTCCTCCTGCTCGGACCTTCCTGACCCCGCTCGCATGGCAGCCACCTCCTTGCGCACGCTTGCACGAAACCGACGGAACGCAGGCGCTGCCGTGCCGGACAGACCATATAGCTGGCGCTTGATTTAAATTTGCTACCTTCCCCGTCCTCCTGCAGCATGGTCTCGCGCCGCTGCGCCTCCTGCATATGCTCGGCAGTCCGTCAAATCCCTGCAAGTCACCGAAAGCCGCAAGGCCATGTCTGGTATTTTTACTACACATCTGCACCCTGTCCTTGAGCTCGGCCACGAGGCGTGCAAACTTCTCCTCCTTCTCCGCCTCGGCCTGCTTGGCTTTCTCGAGGGCCTCGCAGCACTGAAGAAGCACGCCCCGTGATGGCGAGGCCGTCGAGGCCTGGGTGTTTGCTTAAGAACAGCGCCAAACCAAAACTCCCAAACTTGAGGAACCTCTAAACAAACCCCAGCCCCTCCTTAGCCTAACCCCCCCCCCCCCGAAAAAAAGGGGTGCTGCTTAAGTTCCTTAAAGCCCAAACCCTCCACCCCCTTGTGTAGATCCCGAATCCTAAAGCCCATCACCCCCTACAAAGCTACATAACCCTCCCGAGTCCTAAACAAAGACCCATAAAAGCCCTTAACTTGCTAACTCAAACCCCAAACCCAAATCCCAAACCCGAAGCCCTAAACCCTAAACCCTAAACCCGAAATCGTGCCGCAAAGAATCCGGTCTTGGATCCCCTCCTCAGTGGCTCAGGGGCCAGGGCTTTTGGTTTGGGGGGTTTGGGGTTTGGGGTTTGGGGTTTGGGTATAAGATTTCCGGACCTTGGGTTGCCATAAGAGGTTATGTGGGTTCGGCTTAGGGTTTCGGGTTAACCTTAGGCTATCACATGGTCTAGATGAAGCAGCCGTAACCCTGAACCCCAATGATGTGTCTTTTTGAAGTGTGTTTACGCTTAAAAGCTGCTTCAATCAGGCTTTCAAGGTTTTGGGTTCTGAGTACCCTGAACCCTGAATCCGAATTCCATGCACCCGAAATCCTAAACCCTCACCCCTGCAAAATCTGGATTTCAATCTCAATTACTTCCCCCCCCGGTCCTTGAATAGCTGCAACTCACAAGCTCACAAAACCAAACCCCAAACCTGAAACCCTAAACCCTAAACCCGAAATCGTGCCGCGAAGAATCCGAACGTCTTCCTTTGACGGAACCGGCTGGGCTCCCCAGTCCACGTGCCAAAGGTTGGCCTGTCCGCATTACGCTCGGACTTAGGGCTTGGGGCTTTGGGCTTAGGGCTTAGGGCTTAGGGTTTAGGGATTAGGGATTAAGGGATGGGACGTGCAAAGCAATACTCCGGGCACAGGTAACCGATACTCCATGGATTGCTGCTGGGTGCCCACTGCAGGATGGGGCTCAGATTGGTCTGACAAGGGCGTGCCAGGCCTTCAGCCCAAAAAGCCGTAAGCTACCCCTGTAAAGCCAGAACCAAAACCCAGGCAATCTCAAGAAGAAGCTTCCATCCGTACATCCCCAGCTTCTGCAAACCCACTTTTTGCTGCAATGACTTCCGTCTCTGAGAGTGGAAGATGTGGAAGCTACTCTGACTCTGAGTGGGTGCGTGGGTGAGTGGGTGAGCAGGGGAGTGGGTGGTGGGTGAGCGGGTGAGCGGGTGATAGGGTGAGCGGGTGAGTGAGTGAGTGGGTGCGTGCGTGAGTGGGTGAGTGGGTGAATGGGTAAGTGGGTGAGTGGGTGAGTGGGTGAGTCTGTGAGTGGGTGGTGAGTGAGTGAGTGAGTGTACGGGTGGGTGCGCAGGTGTGTTGTTGCGTGTTTGTACATGTGCTCGTCATCGTTCGTTTGCTTGTCTTCCCACTACTTTTCTGTCTCTGTGTCTCTCTGCGGCTCTACCGGTCTCTCTGTCCCGTCTGTCTCGCTGCCGGTCTCACTGTGGGGAACCAACCAACTGTAGATGCGTTTTTAAAGACTCGATTTCATGGAAGTGAGCAAAATGCAACAGAGACACTGTCAGTTCGTGGTGAAGCAGCGCGTTCAAAGCTGTGTACTGTGTACCTGCTTTGCAGTGCTTCGCGTTGACAGTGCTGGCGGGCAACATCCTCCCTGCACAGGGTCCACAGCTGAGCAGCCCTGCAGACGAAAGACCTCTAGGACCTTCTTCACCATGAACACGCTTGACGATACAACTTTATGAAGCAGCAGTGTGCTGCAGCATGCTCATGTGCAGTGTAGCGGCACTGTGGAGCAGCGTTCGCACGAATGTATGGAGCGTGAGCATGACCCATTTAAAGCCCGCAGATCCAGATGTTCCTCTTGCACCATGGATGCATGCACGCTAGACGAAAGCATGCCTCATGTGTGAACAGTCTCTCAACAGTAAGCGTGCACGTGTATGTGCGCTTGCGTTGTGTGGAGCAGGGTTTAGTGCCCAGTATAGGGCTGCTTCTGGGCATTACAACAGAGGCCTCAAACGCCTAGGTTTCAGAGATCAAAAGAGGGCACCCTTGCTTCCTTACCGGGGTTATACTTAAATATGAAAGAAATCGAACCCCCAAAAACGGGAATGCGGGAGTGGGTTCAGGGCTTAGGGTTTGGGGTTTAGAGTTCGGGGCTCAGGGTTTAGGGTCCCAGTAGCCCTGGTGAAGCCAAGGCTCGTAGAAGACGCGCTGGGACGGGTCCACCTGATTGACGATGATGCTCAGGGGCTGCAGAAGAAGCGTCGTGGCATCGAGCCAAACGCCGCCGTACTTGACCTTGCTATGAGAAGAAACCTCACAGCCCTGACAACCCTAAGTCAGCTTCAGCACATCCCGCATCCAACCCAGATCTTTCTGACCCAAAAAAACCGCTGGCCGAACGCACAAGAAGTACCAGTACGCACTTGCGGGCTTTGGGCTTCGAACTGCTTGGCATGTCAGCACGAGTTGAAGATTTAACGTTTAGGGATAATTTACATTGGTAGGATTCCTGAGGCGGCCATGGCAAGGCCTATAGAACTTGCTCAGCTCATCTCTTCTTTGGGGTAAGACGACACAAACAGAACTCCCCAACTTTGGAGTTCACAAGAAGCCCGAAAAACCAAACAAACCTGCGCGCGCGTGTTGAGCCCTGACCCCCCCCCCCCAAAAAAAAAAAAAACAAAAGCAATGGGCTTCGGGTTTAAGGTTTAGGGTTTGGGGTTTACGGCTTGGGGTTTAGGGTTTCGGGTTTAGGGAGAGAAAAGAAGGCATCGTCCCAGAAGGGTCCAGATACCTTCATCGCATAGGGGGTTCTGGGCCCCAAAGTGGGTTCTCGTGTGGCTTTTTCGAGTCTGGGTCTCCGCCGTATGGGACCATGGGCCCTTACTTTCTGTTTTCTTGTGTTGGTTTAGGATTTAGGGTTTAGGGTTTAGTTTTAGGGGAGGGGGGGAGTGCTTCTTCGGTTCAACTGAAACAACGCCCACATGCCACCCTAACGACTATATTGCAGGTCTTAGAGTAGCCAGGCGACCCCAACAAAAGGATACCCAAAAAAGTAACCCCCCCCCCCCGCCCTCGTTCGTTAAGGGTGCTGAGAGAAGAGAACCCCTAAACCCTAAACCCTAAACCCTAAACCCTAAATCCTGTAGTGGGGGATCCGAAGCATGGGCCTTTCATTTCTGTCCCTGCCTTGTTCTGTGACCCTTCTGTACTCTACATAATGAGGGCCCATACTTCGGAACCCTACAAACATAGGGTTTAGGGTTTAGGGTTTAGGGTTTAGGGTTTAGGGTTACAAGAGTAAGGGACCATACGAAAAGGCCTAGAGGAGAAGGAAGACCGAAGATTTAGGGCATAGGTGCGAAAGGAAAATGGCAGAGGGGCCTTAATGCTTGGTGTAGGTTTTCTTTTTGGGCGGGGGTGATGACTACACAGGGGCCATAAGGGAATAATGCCCGTAATTATTCCGACCCCTATAGTATATAGTATATTCATAAAGTATGTAAGTGGAATGTCAAGGCCCACTCTGGGTCCCCCTGGCAGTCAAAACCCTGAAGCCCGAAGACCCGGAAAAAACCCCGAAATCCTGAGGCCTAAACACTCCTAAGGGAATAGGGGGGGGGGGGGGGCGCTGGGTTTAGGGTTTAGGGTTGTTTAGGATATAGGGTTTAGGGCATAGGGTTGATCGGGTTTTATCTTGAAGCCGGGCACCAGCAGCGCCAACCGAATGGCATCAGACTTGTGCTGAATCGACAGCTGGTCGAAGGCTGCGCGGGCGCAGCGGCTGGGGAACTTCGGTGAGCAAAAAATCGCCAGGCGCTACTTGGGGGTTTAGGGTTTGGGGTTGAGGGTTGGGATGTCCCCTTTTTATACTAGCAGTCCTGAAAGGGATCATAAGCAGTGTAAGGGCGAACGTCCTCAAGTTGGGCTGAAATTTGAGGTTTCGAAAGGGGGGGGGTTTGAGGCTTGAAGCTCAGAGGGGCTTGCCGGGATGAGGGTTGCTTGGAGGATCATGGGCTTAGGGTTTAGGGTTTAGGGTTTAGGGTTTAGGGTTTAGGGTTTAGGGCTACTTGGAGGATCCTGGGACATAGTAAGTAGGGTTAGAAGTACCCTAATCGGGGTTAGAAGTACTTGTAACTATAGTTGCCCGAATTATATCCCTACTTACTAAGTCCCCTGATCCTTTCAGTGAGGGTTGAGGTGCTTGTGTAGAGTCATGAAAAAATGACCGGATCCAGAATGAAGCACACCGATTCGGGGCTTTCCGAAGAACTGGGGCATCCTTTTTTGGGGGCTCCTGTAATGCGAATAATCGGACTGTGGGCTTATATGAGGGGGCCTCGAAGCAGTTTTCAAGCCGTTCATTGAACAAGCACATTCGCTTCGCCCACTGAGAATCTTGGAGCTCGTCAAACTTCACTTCTCCAGATTTTGGGGGCAAAGCACATCCGGAGATCGAGAGGTGAAGATGTCCAAGAAGTATATCTATGACACTGCTCAGACAAACTTTTTGGGGGTATACGAAGCTAGGGGGCCCCAATATATAGTCCCCAAACTGTAGGAGGGGTTGATAAAAAGGACCCCCAACTAGGTAACCGTAAAACCCTAAAACCCTAAAACCCTAAACCCTAAAACCCTAAACCCTAAACCCTAAAACCCTAAAACCCTGAAACCCAAAAACCCTAAACCCTAAACCCTAAAACCCTAAACCCTAAACCCTAATATCGTAAGTCCCGATGTGGGCCTTCTGGAAGATCCTCTTTGAGGAGGTACTGCCACATGGTGTCCTTGTGATGTTTGCTGGGTGTTTAGGGTTTAGGGTTTAGGGTTTAGGGTTTAGGGTTTAGGGTTCCGGGTCGGTTCTGGGGGTGACTGTTCCCAGTAACGGCCCAAGCTGAAACCCCAAGAACAGTCGAAACCTCTACGTTCCGCGAGAGCTGCCGAATTTAGAGGGAACTCAAACCGGAGTCATGAGACCCATCGCAAGATCACACAAAGCAGCGTCAACTCACGTTCACGAGAGCATCAGTAAGGCGTAGGGCTTGATTCGGGAACCCAAAACAAAATTCCACGAAGACTTCGCTAGGATGCAGGAGTCACCGCCTCGAAGTCTAAGGCCCAAAAGCAGCCTCTTCGTGGCTGTTGCCCTTGGATTGCCCTAAACCTTACAAAACCTGAGCCCCACAAAGGCTCCTGGTCCAGGATCCGCACATACCAGCCAGGGTTCAGCTGCCTCAGGGATGCCCGACATGACCCCCCACCCCGCCTAAAGCTCCCCTAGAACCCCCCAAACCTTAGGGCCCCCCCCGCCCATCCCTAAACCCTAAACCCTATTCCCTAAACCCTAAACCCTAAACCCTAAAGGCCTCCATGACCGATGGCACAAGCTCAGGAAAGCCTTCAGCCGCTCTGTGGCGTTGGTTTCCGCCTCACATTTAGGGTTTAGGGTTTAGGGTTTAGGGTTTAGTGTTTAGGGTTTACCTTAACTTGGATGTTCATATGGGGTCATTATACGTAAGGTAAGGAGAATTACGTAAACATAGGGTTTTAGGTATATGTTCACCATAAATAGAAGAAAGGCAGGGAATCCCCTAAACATAGGGTAAAAGGTATATGTTCCCCATAATTAGATTCATGGGTAGTTCTGCGCACGGTATAGAGAAGAGCCCTACATGTAGGGATATAGGAAGATGTTCCCCAGAACTAGAACCCTGACAATTTATGAACCTGCAAGTAACTCCCGTGTAGAGGGGCTGCCTCCTATGAACCGATCTATTCTATTTGAGGGCACCCTCAACCCTATGACATTGTACCTTAGGGGCTGAGTACCCTAGCCCAAAAAGGGCAACCTCTTCTATTTCTAGTAGGATTCTATATAACCAAAAAGGTTCAAGGTTACCAACCCAGTCCCTAAGGTACTATCTGAACCTGCAGGTGTACAGGGCTTCTGTACGCCCAGAACCGCCGCGAATCACTCCTCTGTCTTGCGTGCGCTTTAAGGCTTAATATAGGGGCCTGAATAATTCGAATAGGGTTTTGGGGGGTTCTTGTAATATACTTCTAGAGGGACCCTCAGGGAATACTATTCGTATTTATTCCGGCCCCTACATTAGGCGGTTCAAAGCTTTAGAAGCTTCTGGTTTGGCGCGGGAAGAGCTGATGTCGCCAATGGGCAAGAACATGCTAAGGCTTTAGGGGGCTTAGTTTAGGGTTTAGGGTTTAGGGTTTAGGGTTTAGGGTTTAGGGTTTGCCAGCAAGCCAAGATCTCCCCCGGGTTGACGCCTTCACCTACTAACTTCACCGATGGAACCACCATCTACGCCTGCACTTGTAGCATCACTCACATGAAAGATAGGATGGTGACTGCACCGTGTTCTGGCATGCCCTCTACCACACAAGAGTGATCTAGGATGGCCCGCAAAACCCTCTGAACATATTCCTGAATATGATCCTCTTAAACCCAAGAAGGGATAATGTCAGATGTCCCAAGGGCCTACCTAGTAATGCACACCCCCCCAAGCCCTAAACCCTAAACCCTGAACCCTGAACCCTAAACCCCCAAGCCGGTGCCTTGTGCATGTTCTGCCAGTAGGTCCAAATGATCGAGGGCACCTTCTGGCGGGGCGGATCGTAGATCCCAGCCTGAGCGATTCAGACTTCAGGTGGCCCCCTGGCCCTCCTGCCCTGCCCCCCCCAGCTTTTGCAACACAGGCTCCCCAAAAAAGTAGCAAATGTCAAAATAGTTGATGGCTCTTCTTTCCTACATGATTATCACTATGTTATATATATATATACATTATATATATATACATTATATATGCATTATATGTATACATTATATATACATATGTACATATATCTGCATAGGGTAAGGTCTGCGTGGCCTGAAGCAAGCTGGGAACCTAGAACCGACCTGCTGCAAGATCTCATGTGCAAAAAGCCCCCCCCCCACCCCCCATAGGGTTTAGGGTTTAGGGTTTAGGGTTTAGGGTTTAGGGTTTAGGGTTTAGGGTTTAGGGTTTAGGGTTTAGGGTTTAGGGTTTAGGGTGCCCCCCCCCCCCCCCCCCTCCCCAGATGGGGAAGAATCTTGCCTTTCAGCCCCCTCTGACAATGCCGATCTGGTAGCTTCGAGAAGTGAGGTTCTATTAGTTACTACTGTGACAAGCTTTCTTTCGACCATTTCTCTTCTCTCCACTATTTCCGTGCTTACTACGAATGTTACTATTACCACTGTTCTTGCTCTTTTTACTATTCTTACTCCTGCTATGTTTCGATTGGGGCCTTACACTTCGCAGACGTAGAGCCTCCCCCCCAACCCCCCCCTGAGCGCGTGGCACTGTTGTGGACAAAGCGGTGCCTCTGTCAAAGATGCGACAGCGTCATAAAAAAGGGGGGGGGGCCTCCTAAACCAAGTGAGGGGAGTTGCTTCTGTCCGACCCCGGACGCTGGTCAAGGGGTGCGGAAAAGAATTTAGGCCTGGAGGGCTTTTCCTCTTCCCCGTTCATGGCGCTACAACACCTGTATCTGGACCGGCCTTACTGTATCCACTGCCCACCCGATGTTCGAGGTCCTTGCAGCCTTCTTTTTCTTTGTGGCCTTGCTAAGTTTGTAGAGCCTGTGACCTACCACCGAAGGCTATCAGGTCATCGTTACCAGTGCAGGGCTTCACGCATGCCGTAGTCACAACTCCGGCTTCAGCTGACTTTTCACACCACCCATGAACCTTCAGGTCAAGTGCTCCTCTCAACACCTGTAAACCCCTAAGCCCTAGAAAAACCCCGAATGGCCATATAATTATACCCTAAACCCAACATACCTGGTGGCTTGCGTATGGCTTCATGTTTATAGGGCTTAGGATCCCAACCCCAAGAACCTTGTTCCTCAAGGTCCTTTCGCACCGAACTCTGAGCTTCATCTGCTTTAGAGTAACCCTAAGCCAGCCTTTGAATAAGGAGGTGGTGGTCATGAGCTTCCTTGATGATAAGCCGTCTACCGAACTTAAGGGTGGGGCGGGGGGGGGGGGGGTGCGAGGGGGGCCGCACTTTCAGTCCCTGAGCCCCAAACATTCAAGCCTCAGGGTTTTCAGGATTGGCTCGGTGTATATAAACAAAAGGCAAGAGATGTTGTGTTAAGAGAAGCTAACCGTTTACCCGAAACCCTAAACCCTAAACCCTAAACCCTAAACACCCCAAACCCTAAACCGGTCGGAGCTGGAACCGTCTAATGGGATGATTCAGGGTTTAGGTTGTCATGTTTCAGAAGCCCTGAGAACTGTTGCAAGGCCCTGTGTGTGGGCCCTGACTGTTGGAATCTACTTTAATTGCCAACACCTTCCCTGAAGGTTGGAAACTTCTTTATTAGCCTAACCTTCAGCCCTCTTGAGAAAAGCCAGAAGACTTCGATTGAAACTGCCAATCGAAGCAGCTTTGCTTCAAGATACCACGTGGCGCACGCAGGGCGTTTCAGCTTTAGGCGTTGAGGGTTCTTGGTTGTTCAGTGGGTGTAGCTGGCAATCTAGTCCTAAACCCCAAACCTAAACTGCAGCGACAGCAAATCTTACGGCCTCCAAAAGCAGTGAAAGCTCTGATTGCCATCTCCCGCTGCTGGGTAGCCATCGGCCTCTTCATTTCGCAGCTCATGGAAGCGGATCTCTGGCTTTAGGGCTTAGGGCAGCGATCGGTTGCCTCGATCACCCGGCTGCCCAACAACATATGTGTTGTGCCCGCATTATTCTGTTGAATGGAGTTCGTGCAAGGGAACCTACTGAGCATCCCTAGTGGAGCCTCAACCACCCCATGCCCTCTTCAAAAGGCTACATTCTCAAAAGGTTTCAGGAGTTCAAGAATTAGGCTTTACAGGCCCTAGATAAACCCCCTACAAGCCGGGTGTCCCCCTAAACCCTAAACCCTAAACCCTAAACCCTAAACCCTAAACCCTAAACCCTAAACCCTAAACCCTAAACCCCCTCCGAGGGGTTCGAAGCTTAGAGCGCCTACAAATGAGGAGGGCGCCTTGCTGAAACAGACTCATGAAACGTGTCGATAAGGGGTTCTGGCTTGAAGGGCGCTTTGAAGAAAGTCTTGGGGTTCAGCATCTATCGTGTTTGTAAGGGAAAGCTGGGAAATGCAGGGCCTTTGGGGGGGGGGGGGGGTACTTCAGGGGCCTGAATAATGAGAATAGGGTTTGGGCAGGGATTGTAGTATAAATACAGAGGGACTATCATAAGGGAATACTAGTAGTATTTATTCCGACCCCTATACTATGCTCTTCGGTGCCTCCAAGATCAGGGAGCAGCCGCTTTGCGGATGCCCAGGAAAATCTCCGGAGTATGTGGCATAGCCTCAGAGGGAGTTTCCGAAAATCGGGGTACCTTGTTGGGGTCCTTGCACCTTTTTACTAGAATAACTCCCCTTAGAACCTCAACAAAAACAATGTGCTTAATATCCTCTTGGGCTTTATATAAACAAAAATATATTAAGAAAAAAAACAGTTCCCAAGGGGAATATGGTTTATAAGGTACGCCAGCCTTCAGGGATTACAGTCTCAAGGTCGCCATGCTTTTCAGCCGAGGATCCGGTGCAGTCCTCCCGCGCAGCACATCTCGCCTGACCTGACACTCGGCCCCCCCACGAAGGTGTTCGAAGTTAAGTCTGGAAATTGCAATGAGCTTAGAATTTCCGTTGAGAGGGTGGTCCTTTAAACCCTCTGAGACACAGCTACCCGTAAGGGAAGCAACTTAAAACCCTCTGAAACAAATTCCTGCATGGGACCCTCTAACCCTAAGTCATGCTGAAGAACCACCCTCAAAAAATATCTTCCTTATAATGGCAATATAGGGACTTTGTTTTTTATTTCTTTTGTTTTTTTGTCTTAAGCAAATAGTAGATAAGGGAAAGGAAAGCAAATTAAGGTTTGAGCCGTGCTGCACTCGCTGCTGACGCCGCTAGTGCCGACGTTCGCCGGCTGGAAAAAAGGGAGGATCTCCTGGGACAAGCTGCTCAGGGTTTTGGGTTTCGAGTTTAGGGTTTAGGGTTGAGGGCATGAGGAACCCTTATAACCCTAAACCCCCAAACCCCAACCCCACACCCCAAACCCCAAACCCCAAACCCCAAACCCTTCACCCTAAACCCTAAAACGTAAGCCCCCAAACGTGTCACCTAAGAACTAAAGTGCCCCAAAAATGATGATTTTTGCTGCTTCTTAGGAAATATCGTCCCCCCCTCAAAAAAAGAATGACTCCCAAGTACCCCGAAGAGGACCATAGATTCGTAGGGTTTGGGAGGGTCCACAGGGCTTCTAGGGCTTCGAGGGTTTCAGGTAATGTTGTATCCTGATTAGTGTGCTCCCCCGGAATTGTGGAAAAAAACCAAAAACTATTCAGGTGGATCTATTTGAGGAGGACCCCCGGAATTGTGAAAAAAAATCGGGGGATGCAAACTGTTGGCGAGGCTGTCGAATGGTGTTGTCGTCCAGAAATCGCTTCTGAACTGAGCCTGAGGTTGTCAGGCCCTGAAATCTTCAGTCTCCAGGCCAGCCTCAAAACTAAGATTTCCTTATTAAATTCTTTTGTACCGAGGCCGGGCAATCAAATTTCAAAGGGGGTAGTCCAGCAGCTGCCCGAATGCCGTATAACACAAAAAGTTTGCTCCCCCGGAATTATATTTTTTTGCGGGCTGGTTGGGTTTGGATCCAGAGGCCTAAGGGCTAAGGCCTCCTAAACCTTGAGGCCTGAGGTTGTCGGGCAAGTCTCCAGGCCAGCCCCAAAGCTAAGAGTTCCTTATAAAATGCTTTTGTACCGAGGCCAGGCAATCAAATTTCAAAGGGGGTAGTCCAGCAGCTGCCCGAATGCCGTATAATATAAAAAGTTTGCTCCGCCGGAATCATACTTTTTTTTGCGGGCTGGCTTGGTTGGGATAGATGGATCCCCTTAAAATTCATATAAACTCATCCCTTTCAAAATCAGGTGGATCCCTTCTAACATCATATAATCCCTTTCAAATTCATATAAACCCATCCCTCTTAAAATCGTATGGATCCCGTTTAATTTCATACAGTCTCACCCCTTTAAAAATCATATGGATCCCTTTAAAATTCATACGAGCTCATCCCTTTTAAAATCATATGGATCCCTTTTTAATTCATATAAACTCATCCCTTTTAAAATCATATAAAGCCAGACCCCCCCCCCCCCCCCCCCCCCCCCCCCCCCCCCCCCCCCCCCCCACACTAAAGCGCGGGATCCATTCGTTGAGGGGGGCACGGGGGGGGGGTGGGGTGGGCACACTAATCAGCAGACAACATTAGGGTCTACAGGGCTGAGGGCTCACAGGAACTAGAGAGTGCTTGAAGGTTTAGGGTTTAGGGTTTAGGGTTTAGGGTTTAGGGTTTAGGGTTTAGGGTTTAGGGTTTAGGGTTTAGGGTTTAGCAGCTTAGGTTGACCATGGGGAAGGAGCTAGAAAAGGAGTGTCGAGCCTTTCACCAAGATGTTCAACCCTCCCTCCGAGTCAGAAATTGCCAGGGACATCCCTTGCTTCCGCTGCTCCAAAGTCTGGAGGGTTTAGGGTTTAGGGTTTAGGGTTTAGGGTTTAGGGTTTAGGGTTTAGGGTTTAGAGTTCAGGGTTTCGGGCTTCGGGTCTTCCTCTTGAAGTGTCCCTGCCAGAGCAATGTGCTCCTGGACGATTCGGCCTCTGTGGCGGCCGCGAAGATGTGGTGAGAACCACCCCTAAACCCTAAACCCTAAACCCTAAAAACTAACCCTAAACCCTAAACCCTAAACCCTAAACCCTAAACCCTAAACCCTAAACCCTAAACCCTAAACCCATTCTTCCCTCCAGCTTTGGAGACAAAGCAAGCTTTGAGTGCCGTCGTGCCACGCACATGGCTCCGGGAAATCACGCAATGCGCCGCTGTGGAATGACAGCGCCAATGCTCCCCCCCCCCCCCGCCCACCCATTGATGGTCTACTGGAACAAGCACAGGAATTGCTTCTGAGGCAGGGTTTGTACTGCTGTTACTGGTGAGTGTATATCTGGTTCCCTATACATATTGGTGGGTGAATATATACATATATACTAATAATAATGATAATAATGATCATAATGATAATAATGATAATAATGAAAATAATGATAATAATGATAATAATGATAATAATGATAATAATGACAATAATGACAATAATGATAATAATGATAATAATGACAATAATGATAATAATGATAATAATGATAATAATGATCATAATGATAATAATGATAATAATGATAATAATGATAATAATGATAATAATGATAATAATGATAATAATGATAATAATGATAATAATGATAATAATGATAATAGTAAATATAAATATATATATATATACATATGTGTATATATATATAGATATATGGAGTCGGAATCCTAAGGCTTGTAAGCCCTGCAGCTCGGAGTGCCTCAAATCAGATATTCTACCCCCCCCCCCCCCCCCCCCCTCCCCCCGGTCGCCACCCCCCCCCCCCCCCCCCCCCCCAAAGAAAAAGAGCAAGACGATGTAACATTATCAGACAAACAAGGGTTTAGGGTTTAGGGTTTAGGGTTTAGGGTTTAGGGAACACTAAAAGCGCGCAAAACGAAACCCTGAGCCCCCAAAATTAGCAACTCCAGAGCCCTAAACCTGAACCTTCAGCCCAACTGAACCCAAAAAGAACAACTTAAAGAGCCCTGAAACTTCAGCCCACGCACTAGGGCGCCTGGATGTTGGTGGTGTTGAAGGCCGCGGGCACCTGCCTGCACTCATAAAAAGCTGAGAAAGGGGAAGCCGACACTCTCCTAGGAACTGGCCCTAAGGATCCATGGAGCGAAATAGGGAATACTTGGGCCATAACATTTGGGGACTTTGGTGGCCGAAGTATACAATAGTGAGGTACCTGGACCCTTTGGGTGGGAGAATTTATAGGGGGATCCTGGGTTCGATCTTCAGGTGCCTCAGTTACACCTTGTTCAAAGCCTAGATCCTCAAAGTGAGCCCCCTGGGCAAACCCAGTTTAACAGGCCCCTTAGAAACCCCAAGGCCGCCCAAGGCCCTTCTGCATTTGATTGCTACAGAAGCCCTGGTGGTAAAAATCAGACATACCCTTCACCATCCCTAAACCCTAAACCCTAAACCCTAAACCCCACAACCCTTTATACCCGAAACCCTACGCCCCGAAGACTGGTCTCCTGCGGTTGATGCCCAGGCAAAGTCCAGCACCCAGGAAGGGAAAAACCTCGGGGAGAGCGCGGCTGTGATGTTTGGGAGGGGGGGGGGTTAGGGTTTAGGGTTTAGGGTTTAGGGTTTAGGGTTTAGGGTTTAGGGTTTAGGGTTTAGGGTTTAGGGTTTAGGGTTCAGGGTTCAGGGTTTAGGGTTTTGGTGAAGGGAAGGGGGACTCAAGGGGACCGGCGGAGCTTACAGGTTTCAGGGGTTGTGGTGCTTTAAAGGGCGTTAAAGGGCGTTGAGGTTAAGAGTACAAAGGATTTAGGACTTGAAGAATTAAAAGGCTTAGGGTTTGGGGAATAATTGAAAGGCTTAGGATTTAGGACATAAAGAATTAACAGATTTAGGGTTTGGGGGCTCAAGGGCGGGTTCAAAGGGCTCAGAGGCTTCCAAGGCTTGAAGACGGTGGGCTTGAGGGGTCAAAAGGGTTCAAGAAGGGTTTAGGGTTTAGGGTTTAGGGTTTAGGGTTTAGGGTTTAGGGTTTAGGGTTTAGAAGGGCTAAAGCCTCAGATGGTTAAAAGGGTAACACGGGATTAGGGTGCAAAAAACTTCCGGGTTACAGTGTCCCAGGAAGATGCAGAACAACTAAACCCTTAAGCCCTTGAGCGCAGGGAGGACTTCCTGATGCGGGTTGCTTGCGGGGTGTCATGGTTGGGTGCTTAGGGTTCTGCCTTGTTGAAAGTAGGCTTTGCGTCTTTACACACGCTAAGCCCCCTGAAACACCCCAAGAAAAAAACCACAAATCTCCCAAAGCCCTAAACCCCTCCAAACCCTACCAAACCAACCCACCAAACACCCCAGCCCAAACCCTAAACCCCCCTAAACCGCCTGAAACATCAAAACCTCAAACCTTAAACCCTAAACCCCCCCGAAGCCCTACAAACCAACCTCCCCCCCCTCCCCCCCTAAACCCTAAACCCTAAACCCTAAACCCTAAACCCTAAACCCTAAAGCCGCCTCGGAGGGATCGCCCCAAGCGCTCTGCTGTGTCCATGGAGGCCCCGGCGGGGCCAACAAGCCTGAAGATGGAAGGGAGGGGGGTTTAGGGTTTAGGGTTTAGGGTTTAGGGTTTAGGGTTTAGGGTTTAGGGTTTAGGGTTTAGGGTTTCGGGTTTGGGGTTTGGGGTTTGGGGTTTGGGGTTTGGGGTTTGGGTTTGGGGGTTGGGGTTTGGGTTTGGGGTTTGGGGTTTAGGGTTTGGTGGGGGGGGGGGGGGGGGGGGTATGGGCTCTAGGAGTTTGTCCGGGGTGCTTTAGGGGGTTGAGGACGCTTAGGGGATCTTTGAAGGAGGTCTAGGGTCTGTAGGGGGACTTTTGGGGGAGTAGGGTCTAGAGGTAAGACTTTGCTCGTGTAGGAAGTGCCGTGGCAAACCGAAACATCGCAAACACTCCTACTTCTGAGGGAAGTGCTCCTCGGTGGCTCGCAGCCCCACAGACTTATACAAAACTCCTAAAGACCAGTATAAGCATAGAGGGCTTAAGGCTTTGGGGCTTAGAATGTGCACCTTACACACACAACAACCTCGCAACCCAAACCTGGCAAATAAGCTCCCTAGCCCTAGCCCTTAGCGTAACTTTCAACCCCCAAAACCCCTTCAATCGCAACACCAAAAGACACCTTAAACCTTGAGCCCTCCAATTCGCTTCCCCCCCCCTTATACCCCCCCTTAAAATCCCTTAATTATACCACCCCCTTTGTACCCCCCCTATACCTCCCCTTACAGTAAACTCCAGAAAGTTGGAACATGGTTTAAGGACGATTAAAGCTGGGATTTCCTTTAGTATAGCTTTTGGGGCATGAGGATAAGGATGTTCCAACTTTTTGGAGTTTACTGTTCCCCTTATCCCCCTCACCACATCGAAGGCCGCGTCTCCCTTCATGCTGTACTTCGCCAAGCCGATGAAGCTAATGCTGACGACGAGGCACCTGACTATGGGTTTAGGGTTTAGGGTTTAGGGTTCAGGGTTTAGGGTATAGGGTTTAGGGTTTAGGGTTTAGGGTTGAGGGTCCCCCTTATACTCACAGCTCCTAAATAAGGATTATGGTAGCCCCTATTACAAATCCCTTTTTAAGGACTGTTCGTATACGGCTCAACATCCCAAGGTAGTTCTCTAGATTAGGGCCCCTTTTTTGGGATCCCTGTTTCAAAGGGCGCCGCCTTATAATTTGGTACAAAAAAATGGACTCTAACTTAGGAAACTGCCGCTCTGCAGCGAAGATCCCAGCTGATGGCTCCTGTATGGAGGTTTGGGGTTCGGGTTTCAAGGTTGCTGGGTCACGGATTGAATGGATTCGTAAACCCTACAATCCCCCCCTACGGCCGATTCGGGGTTGAAGAGTCAGACGTTTTGGGAGGTTTAGTGGTGTAGCGGCGGAGCTTTTGAGCTCCGGGTTTAGGGTTTGGTAGGGTTTTGGGGGGCTAAGGTGTGTTTTCACAAACCCTAAACCCTAACCCGCAACCCCCAAACCACTAAAACCAAACCCAACACAGCTCTAACGACTTAAACTCCAAAAACCCTGAAGACCCACAAGCCCAACAAACGACCTTACCCTAAACCCTAAACCCTAAACCCCAAACCCTAAACCCCTTTAAACCAGGCCACGCCGACAGCAGAAGGCAGTTGGCTAGTGGTTGCCTCGGCCTTTGCCTTGTCTCGAAGTCCTGGTACGATGGCTTTAGGGTTTAGGGTTTAGGGTTTACGGTTTAGGGTTTAGGGCCAGTGTTCAGGAACTGGAATCATCATGGGGATTCTGAGCGTGGGCTCGGGGCTTTCTGTCGCTGCTTAGGCTGATGTTGCTTGTGAACACGCCCGAACGAACCGCGGCACTTTTACACCACCGAGCTTCGTAAGATCACGGCTTGCGGTCCAGGAGTTTGATCGTGCAAGAAATGAGAATGGGGAGGGTTCTGGGGTTCAAGTTGAGTTTGAAGGCCTCTGATCGGGCCATTTGGGGGTTTGGGGTCCTAATAAGGGGATCCTACTATTTGGGGGTCGATGATTGGGACCCTTGTTTCGTAAACTCCCGTTTGAGCACCTCCACCTGAGCCCGAAACCCTAAACCCTAAACCCTAAATCCTAAACCCTAAACCCTAAACCCTGAGACTCGGCTGGCACCTGATCTTAATCTACGGAGTCCAGGAATGGGTAACACAGACCCAATGACTAGGGTACCTAGGCTATAGCTGGGCCACTGGGGCTGCTGGAGCCTGCCTTTCCATCCACATCCTCCTCACATTTCAGTCTACAACATAGTGAACTTGTAGGTCTATTTGCAACTTCAGTTGGGCACTGTTGTGGGGGGTTAAACCCTAAACCCTAAACTTTACCCTAAACCCTAAACCCTAAACCCTAAACTACCGTCATGTCAGAAGCCCTGCACCGCCATGCACTTCTGCCTCCCACCCCACCCTCTCCCCAGCATTCGGCTCCGGATCGGACTCATCGGACATGTCTTTTCCATCGTCGTCATACCTTCCATTTGGGTTGAGGGTTTAGGGTTTGGCGTTTAGGGTTTAGGGTTGAGGGTTTAGGGGGTTTGGGGTTTAGGGTTTGGGGTGCAGGGTTTGGAGCATGGACGATGGGGGACGATGGAAACCGTGCATGCAAAGCGTGTGTGCAGGCCCCCCCCCCTCCCCCCCCCCCCCCCCTCCCCCCCCCCTCCTCCCCCCCCCTCCCTCCCCCCCCTCTCCCCCCCCCTCCCCCCCCAACAAAACAAAAACACAAGTCTTCCTTATAAGGGCACTATAGGGATTATCATTTTTATGTTTTTGGGGGGTCTTAGAAGCAAACAGTACCCTAAACCTAAACCCTAAACCCTAAACCCTAAACCCTAAACCTAACCCTAAACCCTAAACCCTAAACCCTAAACCCCTAACCCTAAACCCTAAACCCTAAACCCTAACTAGACGCAAAGCCATGGCGGGGCCTCTCCCTCGAGAGGAAAGACACGTCGCTGAGCTCCATCAGGTCATCCCGCTCGCGAACAGACTGCGAAATCGGCATTTGGAACTTCATTCCTGGCCGGGGGGGGGGGGGGGGGGTTTAGGGTTTGGGTTTAGGGTTTAGGGTTTAGGGTTAGGGTTTAGGGTTTAGGGTTTAGGGTTTAGGGTTTGGGGTTTGGGGTTTAGGGTTTAGGGTTTAGGGTTTAGGGTTTAGGGTTTAGGGTTTAGGGTTTAGGGTTTAGGGTTTAGGGCAAAGCCCAGAGACTCCAAAACCCCTTAATTAAGGCTTGCGCGCCCAAAAAAACCCACCCTGCTTGTTACCAGTGGCCAGAGCATCCATGCCCGCACGTTGATTATGTCCATGTTGCCAGTGCATGGGAATGGCCAGAGCATCCATGCCCGCACGATGAGTACTTCCATGTTTCCAGTTTGCTTCCTGGATGCGACCGCTGGGGTTGGTCAAAAGACACGATTTCGCTGCGCCTGCCACGCTTACCTGCATTCCCCTGACCCGTTCTCGGACACGATTTGTTTTGGGGGGGTGTTTTGTTCAGCGCTGCGCGCCAAAGTGGACTTGGGGGGTTACGTATAGGGTTTAGGGTTTGGAGTTGGGGCTTAAGGTTTGGGGTTTAGGGGTCTACAGGACCAGTTTGGTCTTATAATTTTGAGACAAGAACAGTTCTTAGATGGCACTTTGAAACGTAGTTGGCCCCAAGAACGGGTCACGAAATCGTGACCAATTTTCTTCTTGCAGCGCGTGCTGGGCTTGCTCGCGACATGCCAAACTCGCTGCGCCTGCCACATTATTCTTCATGGGGTCCTTGTTTTTTCTTCCGGAGTCTGTTGGGGTGTTTTTTTGGGGGCGCGCGCGCCTTAATTAAGGAATATGACTTAAATTATAATAGGAACCCTAATATGATTTAAGGGCTCCAGGGGTGAACCCGGCCCCTGCGTTTTGGCACTTTTATTCTGCACGCGACGTCGCGTCCCTCGTGCATGTCGACACGCTCCAGGGGCGAAGGGTTTATTTGCTATTTCAGTGTTGTGGTGCTGTCCACAAAAATACCCAAGAAACCAAAACCACAAAAACCAAAAAAAACAAAACCAAAAAAACCAAAAAAAACCAAAAAAACCATTATTCAGGAAGTCTCCCTGTAAGAGTTCCTAGGAAATGGTTTTTTTAGTTTTTTTGGTTTTTTTGGTTTTGGTTTTTTTGGTTTTTTTTGGTTTTGTTTTTTTGGTTTTTTTGGTTTTTTGGTTTTGGTTTTTTTGGTTTTTCTACTGTCCCGTGTATGCAGATTTAGTTGTATTTTAGTCTACGCCCTAGGAAATACGCTATATTGCACACCGAGTTTGCTTGCAGTGCAGCTGGGTGACTTGAGACAAGGCGAAAAAGGGTAGGTCACTGGGGGGGGGGTACCATATAGCTACCCCCTCCCCCCCCCAGCGACCTACCCTTTTTAAGCCTTTTTAGGCTTTTTTAACAAAAAACAACGAAGAAGGCCCAAAAGTCGCGTAGTTCATCACCGGGTAATGAAGGACAGTACTGGGACACCCACCTCACAGACTCCAATAAGCCAGCATTGGAATAATCTACCTTTTGAATCTGAAGCGGACAATGCTGGTTTAGATGATTAGATCTGTGTTTTTTTCTATGCAAATTGTGCGTTTAAAGGGCAACTAATGTTTTGTTGAGCAACTAGTTTATTTATACAATTGTGTTTGTACGAGGCAAAGTATTAATCAAACACTGAAACATTTTTCTTGATTCTATGCGAATTTAACTACTAGAGTAATTATTAAGCAAAGAGCCCAATTTGACTCAAGTGAATACTATTCAAAGGAGCATACTCAACCAAGATACGAAATAGACACCATTCTCAACCAAAATATGGCAAAGTGTGCGTTTAAAGTGCAAATAATGCTTTGTTGAGCAACTACTGTATTCATACAATTGTGTTTGTACTAGGCAAAGTATGCTCTCTGAAAAGTCCACTGAAATACTTTATGTTTACATATTTATGAATCGTTTGTATTTTTGAAAGAATTATTTTATGCGAATTTAGCTACTAGAGTAATTATTAAGCAAATACCTCAATTTGACTGAAGTGAATACCATTTACAGGACCATACTCAACCAAAATACGAAAGAAGCACCATATTCAACCAAAATATTGCAAAGTGTGGTTTAAAGGGCAAATAGTGCTTTGTTGAGCAACTAATGCATTGAAACGGCTGGGTTTACACCAGGCAAAGTATTATTGAAATACTATCTGCAAAGTCAAATGAAATACCTTATGTTTACATATTCATGAAACATTTTATATTGTTGAAGTATTCATTCTATGCGAATTTAACTACTAGAGGAATTCTTAAGCAAATAGCCCAATTTGACTCAAGTGAATACTATTTAAAGGACCATACTCAACCAAATACGAAAGAAACACTAACGGAAATGGAAGCGGTTCTACCTACATAACAATGAAACAAAGATTGCTGAAGTATTCAATAAAGACCACTTATATACTATGTCTGAAAAGCACAATTTGCATAAGCAAGCTTAAAAATGCACAAGAATGGAAATAGACGCGGTTCTACTTACATAACGATGAAACAAAGATGTCTGAAGTATTCAATAAAGACCACATATATACTCTGCTTGTCTCTATCCGCAGCCATGAACACATCCAAACGCGTGGTTTCGTTTCGTGTACTTACGTAAAATACTAAAACGCAGGGGCCGGGTTCACCCCTGGAACCGATTTAAGGTATATTCCTTAACTAAGGGGTTTTGGAGTCTCTGGGAGTTTAGGGCTTTGGCGGCTTAACGCTTAATATCTTACGGCCTAGGTGTGCTTGGCTGTCACCCCACGACCGGAGAGCAAAGCTGCGTGAATAAAGAACTGCACCGTTTTCCGGGTGATCTCTTTGATAATGTTTTTGTGGGTAACCCTCCTGTACACTGAACCCCTATAAACTCCAAACCCTGAACCCTTACCTGGGACTCTACTAACCTACAGTTTAGTAGTAACGACCATACTTGAACCAGTAGGTATAGCCATACAGCTGTCTGTAGGTATAGAGAGTTACAAGTAAATCCTGAAAACTCGATTCGCGCAGAACTTGCCAGGGCCCTCCTGCGATGAGGAGCCGAGCGCCAAGCAGAGGGAACTGGTGCCTACACCCTGAGGTCGACGATATGTTGAGGTTCTTTCTAGGGTTTTTTGAGGGGTTTGTTCCGGGTTTTTTGGGCGTGTTTTTGGAGGGTTTTTTCAGGATTTTTGAGAGTTCTGAAGGTTTAGCGCCTCAATGGCCTGCACCTTAACACCTAAGCCCTCAAGATAATTGGGAGGGGGGGGAGGAGGCTGGGGTGTGTAGGCTGCTGTGGAAGAGGTCCGGTGGTGGTTCAGATGTTGCTGCTCGTCCGAAGCACTATAAAACCTAAACCCTAAGCCCTAAATCCCACTCTATGGGCACACATGGGCCCTGAGGGTCTTCTGAGCACATGTTGCCCGTCTTCTACGCGTGGCAGCTTAAGCGGCAGCACTAAGCCAAAAGTAGCTGCGGCACGCAAGTTGTGACCAAACTGAAGCTCGCTCTTAAGCCCCTCAAAACCCTTAAAACCCTCAAAATCCTCAAAACCCTCAAAACCCTCAAAACCCTCAAACCCTCAAAACCCTCAAAACCCTCAAAACCCAAAGCCCTCAAAGCCCTCAACCCTAAAAACCCCGGAAGGGTTTGGAGTTGGGGGATGGAGACTTTGACGGGCTCACTTCGTAACCTATCCTGGGTCCCCCGTAACGTCTTCCAAACTGCAAACCAGCAAGCCTGTCTTTGTATCTGTGTGAATGTGCGAATACCCTAAACCCTAAACCCTAAACCCTAAACCCTAAAACCCTAAACCCTAAACCCCAAACCTTAAACCCTAAGTATACATATTCGTGAAAGCCTGATGCGATGCGAACTGTCAATGCCCCAAACGCAGCTTCTCTCAACGTCCACTCCTCTCAAGGCTTCCAAGTACTACGGTTTGCTCAAGAGCCCCCCAAAAATTAAAACTATTCTTTACCCAATTGACCCTGAAGCTTTCCACCTTTTTGTTGGGGAGGTCCAAGCTCCATAAATGTCCATAAACCTTTAGCCGTGAAAAGCCCTGAAGCGCGACACATGCTTCGTTCTTCATTGCTGCGAAGACGCGAATCCGAGTTCCTGAAGGGACCGTACATAATCATAAACACCCGAAACCCTAAACCCTCAACCCTAGTTAAACCCTAAACCCTAAGACAAAAAACGAAAAGACAAAAAACGAAAGGGTTTGGAGCTGGAGTCCAGAGTTTCGGATGGGAAAGCTCACACAGGGCTTTCCGGCGGAGTTTCAGGATGTACTTGGAGGTTCATGGGTTCTTGGTTCTAAGTATCCTTAGAACCAGGTAACTATACTTATCAGACTTGTCACCCTATTTAGGTCAGTTATGACCCTAAACCCCAAGCCCTTATTAAGCCCTAAG